GTTCTCACAATGCCATCATTGCACCACACAGTGTGTACTTCCTAACGATGATCATGAACTTTGCTGATCTTTTGTTCGCTTGGTCATTGTGGAATGTGCGCGGTGATCTAGCGTGCAGCTCAGTGCTCCGATGTAAGTTGTATTATGTATTATGTATCGACAGTGCAATCACCGATCACCATATAAATTAGTGCATGTGTAGCAACAGGACATCATGAATCAGATTCATGATGTATTTACCAGTTTGATACAATACATCTACTGAAACATGAACGTATGCCCTCATCATGAAATAGTTTGTTGAGGTAAGGAGAAGTTAAAGAGGAAACAAAATGAAGATGATGCACTTTATAAGATCGTCGAGGGTCATCTTGGCTGCCCGCTCTAACAGTTGATGACCTGAAGACGAACTTGAACTTTCAAAATGTAATGACAACTCAGCACTCGGCCCTGGTTTGGCACTGCCTGAGTGGCGCCCTGAGTGGGGGAACACTAGTTAGTCATGTATTATAAGTTGGACTGGAAAAATGAAGATGGACGTACCTTCTTCAACAGTGTCTTCGACACATCAGTAAAGCTGACGGGGGACTGCCAAATAGCTTCGATCAGCATCTAAACCGTTTCTACCAGCACCTGGCGCTAGCACGGCAATCACTTTAACGATATCAGAAAAAAGCAAGACTGTACGGGACGCGCCGTAGTACAAAGACACTCATGTGTGATAGAATTTGCAATTCTTGAACCCGTCAGGTCCGTTATGCGGGCAAGGGTGCACAAATCATTCAGGTCAACACTATGCGCATGTAATACTGTGTCTTAATGACTGTGACGCGTGCGCATTGCATCATAAAGCTCATCCATGAGATTTGCGACAGATATCCTCAACCTCTGATGTAGGAGAGAAGAATTTGATCTATGCGATGCAGCAAGAACCTAGGAAGGTAGTAGAAAACGAGTTCGGGGTAGTTGATGACGAGGAGGATATCGCGATGTGCGTCAGGGACATTATTGCCTGCATTGTCGGGAGGGAAAGCAGGTGAATTCGGGGCTTTGAAGTAGAGGAAGAGTGGAGTGATGCTATGCAATCAGCTGCCCCAGGAAAAGCGAGCAGACGAGCGTGTATATTGAAATGAAAAAGAAGATCTACTGATGACCGACCGTGTATTCAGGAGAGAGACAACCGAGAAAGAGCCAGAAGCGAGTCCAGAGTCCCGCCTGCCTTATCGTTGCATCTGGGCGTAAGGGTGTCGAAGTCATGGCTATTGCAACGACATTGCCGACGGCAGGTGTGGTGGATGCCGAGGAGTTAGCTGCCTGTGGTTGAGAAGATGGCTGGGTGACACTGGGTTTTGGAGGACGCGAACTACTTGCAGTAGGGTTCTTTGAGGGGGATAGTATTTTTCGTTTCTCCCTCGCGCAAGCATTTCTCTACATGAGATCAGGTGAAGTAGAACGATCGAGGAGAAGGAACATACACGTTTGCCCTTCGCATACGGAACCTCGACAACCGTAGGGCTGTACCCTTGCACTTTAATACGCTCATCACGTCGTACGCGCCGTTTCAAAATGTTTCGAGCCCAGTCAAGAGGGGAGGATGGTGACGTTGCATGAGTACCGGAGGGACTGCGGTTGCGGCGGAATAAACGATCAAGAAATGTGCTGCCTGACAGTGCTGATGAGTGGGGATGGTTTCGTGCAGAGGACTGAGAAAACGAAGGTCAGGAAAACAAAACCGAATCGATAGTGATGACATACATGGGAACGATCTGGTGGGACTCCATCAAAGAAACCTTGGGGTATCCGATGAGTAGGCGGATGTCGTTGTACTGGAGGTCGTGTAGCACTAGCCTAGAGCATATATAGTGAGAACAACAAGATCTTTTAATGAAGGTGTCACGTACATGGAGTGCCAACTTATTGGCCTGGCAGAGCGCATTCAGTTGTGAGAATATACAATGAGACATGCATATTGATTCACCTTTGGATCCGAAAGTAGGTCATCGAGGCCGGCTTCTTTAACAATTGCAGCAACATCCCATGTGTACGCGTTTTTGTCTTGGCAGCCAGTTGATAGTAGCTTTCCATCCACGGAAAATGACACGCAATACACATAATTTGCATGCTGTAGGGGCGAGCTGATGAGTTGTCCATCGTCGAGGTTCCACAATAGCACTGTATCGTCGTGTGATGCGCTTGCGAGGATGCGGTCATTTGGTGATATTGCAATGGCCCAGACCCAGCGAGTGTGCGCTTCCAGTAGTGTGGTTTGCTTCCATGTTTTGGTATTCCATGTCCTAATCGAGTGATCGGATGACCCGGAGATAAGAGTTTTTCCATCCTTGGTCCAAGCCAGGCAACCCACTACCCATGTATGTCCTCTGAGAGTTGCGACCAGCTCGTCTGTCTTTGTGTTCCAGATTTTGATGGAGCACTCGATGTGTTCTCCAGCCCGCCGGGGCCCATCATATCCACCAGTCGCAATCATGGACATGTCTGGTGAATAGACCGCTGCCCACACATAGGTGTGCCCAGTCTCGATTGGCTCGAGGATTGTCTCTCCCCTTTCCACGTCCCATTGCCTTGCAGTCCCATCGGTGGATCCACTTAACACGCTTCGACTATCTCGACTCCAGCAGACAGATAACACTCGTTGTGTATGCCCCATCCATTTACCGATGACTTTGCATGCGTCGATGTCCCACAATCTCACTGCGCCGTCCTCACTCCCACTAACCACTTTCTTCCCGTCCGGAGACAACGCTATACAGCACACTCCACCTTCTCCATCTCTCCAGTCTTCCCCTATCTGTTTCCCGCTCTTCAAGTTCCATACCCGCAGCGAGCCGTCTTCTGAACAAGTGATCATTCGCTGTCCACCGGGAAGGTGTATGACGTCCCGGACAAGATCGGTGTGTCCTTTGAATTTCTGACGGGGTGTCATCGCTGATGTCTCTTCCTTTTTAGCGGTAGGTGAAGTCATGCTCCAGAATTCCTACTACCAGTGCAGTGTTCTTTTAGCCTTCATTCATTCAATTCCAGAATCAACACTTACGAGGATAGTAGTGACGTGTGGACAGCAGGGTATATGATGGGCATTTCTGTCAAGTCAGAGTTATATTCTCTGCTTCGTGGTACTTTGTTGTGCCTCGTTGTGTTCGCTTCACAGCTCATACAGCATAGGCTATGCTGCGCAACCGAAGCGCCCTCCGTGCCTCACTGGGTCCATGGAGTCCGTAACTTTCACTCGACATTTTTAATATAGTATCGGCATGTCCATCACATACTGCCCCATGGCAGTTCCTACATTCAAGTCTACATTCTCCATTTCATTAGAACATCTTCTGCCTCAGTCACTACCCAAATGCTCTGATAATGCCTCTCGCATCTCTCTCCTGATGACCAGACGGACATAGGTGTTCGTGTAGCATTGGGAGGGTTGCATTCATTTGTTCAATCCCAGCATCGATGTTCTCGATTCTCGAATCTATTGCATCTTCGGTTTTGACAACTAGTATCACATCATGTGCGATTCAAAATAATGGCACCGTCGATTTTTGAGGCTTGTCGGCATTGAAACTTGATTGAGCCTGACTTGATAAGATAGATGGACAGAGAGAAGTTCACACTGAGTTCAAGATTATGGTACTGACGTTAATGAGTCATTGTCAGAATACGTGTAGCTGTGACTCGGTTGATGTATGGGCAGTAGATGAAGCATCTAGTGTATATATTGTACATGAAGGACAATTCGAAATATGTACTTCAGAGCCCAGGGTGTCTTATCATGGCATGGCTCGGAGGGCGTTGAAGTTGAAGCTGCAGTAGAATCATTGATGTCAAGTGTGATGGATGAACTGGAGACGACAGCCTGTCGTTGCGAATATGGCTGGGCGACATTGGGCTTAGGAGGCCGTGAACTACTTGCAGTAGAGTTCTTCGAGGGCAACGGTCTTTTCCGTTGCTCTCTCGCGCAAGCATTTCTCTACATGATATTAATTGGGGTTAAACTGACAGAAAGAAAATGAAAAAACGTACAAGTTTGCTCTTCGCACACAGAACTTCAACTTGAACACCTGCAGGGTTGTGCCCCTGTAACTCGGTGGCTTCACTTTGTCCGCACCATTTCAAAAGGCTTGGAGGAGGGAGGACGGTGACGTATCATGGGGCATTGAAGGAGCTGGGGTAGAACAAACGATCAAGGAACGTGCTGCCTGGCAGTGAGGATCTAACTTTATGGTATAGGCAAGCTGGTCCTATGAGATCGAACATGTATACCGTTTGTCGCCATCAGACTATGGAGAAACGGGACCAGGCTAGGACGCGGATCCTTCAAGTTGGTGGGAGCTCGTGTTTTGGGGACGTTCTCCGTAGATAGTTCCTCATCGGACGATCATAATGATGTCTTTGGAAGAAGTTCGGGTAGAGCACTTCGAACCCATAACGAAACTGCCTGGCCAGCAGCGCTAACTTGAACTCCTCGATCTGTCCTTCCACCTTTCTCCACAACTATCCAAGCGCCAGTTTCGTCGACGAGCCTTGCCTTTACAAAGGCTTTAAACAAGACATCCTCGACCATTGGAAGGGGCATCGGTCCGCCAGCTCATTGTACTCCCAACCCGAATAACAAAACTTGATAGCGATTTTTGCGCTTCGGGTGAGACGAAAAATGGAACGGTTTTTTTTGGATGATCCACACGCATTGCAGGGATTCCTAAGCGAATGACCGACCCAAACCGAATACTAGTTAGTAGCTTTGGCCACAAGTCGAACGATGCGGTTCGGGAGTTGTAACGGTACATATAGTCGGAATGGGATGGGTTCGATTTGCTTTTGCCACACCACACTAATGATATCCGAGTCGGACTGGCAGGTTTATCTGATATTTGGTTAACACGAACAAAAATGAGTAAGTAAGTGACGTTATTGTGATTGCATTTGACGAACCTGATTTTGAAGAAGCAGATGGAAGCACTATTAGTAAAGGCACGTTTCTGAACTTGAACTTGAACGTTAACCTGAATCAGTTAGTGACACGGTCCTCTACTGCCCGTCGCGCGAAGTGAACCGACCAGCTTTAGTGACAACGTGGTCGGCTCTCGAGTCCTTGAAGCAGAAAGTTCAGACAAGTAAAGTAATTTAGGTAAGTCGCTTGTTGTTACAATCAATGGTCCAGACCCTGATGGAAGGCTCAAAGCCAGGCTCAATGGGCCAATTAATTTAGCGTCTCCAAGAATCACGCTTTAATTCAACTAAGCCATGCGTCGAAGCCAACCTTGTTTGTTTTCGTTGATATGACTTGGACGAAATTTTTGGGTTTGGTTCTTGTTGAACCACGACTTTCACGTACGCATCAATGACTGCACTCGATCTGCACAATGCACTTTTCACATCAGACAAACGACTCGTCAATGCTATGCCTACTACGCCTACCCCCATGACACATACACGTACTCTTTCGCTCACGACAGCCCAAGAACAATTACACAACCCTACATCCTCAACCTACAACACCCCGACCTTTCATGACCTGCTCTCACGCCAACCACTTCATCCAGACGGTCCACGACACTGGGACCTTGGTCTTGACCTCACGGGAGACCCGATAACAGCAGCAGAATGTAAAAGCCTCCAAGACCGGTTCATGAAAGCAAAACTTCGTCGCTTAAAGTGGATATGCGGGGTTTTTGAAGTTGTTCTTGGTATACCCCATCTCGGTCTGTGTGTCTCGAGCCAATGTTAATGATCTTTTGGTTTAACAGGTATATGGGCTATATACTGCACGATTCGCTATTCCCTCGCATTTCAAACGGCTCTTACGGGCGATGTGCACATACCCACGCTTGCGCTCGTGCTTTGCGTTATTTCTGGTATCAGTGTCGCGGGAGTGGTCGTGACGCTTTTTATGCCGCTTCTTCCAGAAGACGGAGATAGGTTCGTTCGTGCTGCGAGGATGATCTCAAGAGGATCTTTTGTTGTATTGATAATCGCGATGTCGATCGCGAATCTTGTCCTTATTTTGATATGGAGGCCTGTGGATAGATGTGGGTGGAATATGGATGTTTCGTGGTCAACGACAGTTGCCATCGCTGGGGATTCGACAGCAAGGCAATGTCGCACTGCGAGTTTTGCAGCTTGGATAATTGTTGCATCTTTAAGGGTTATTGCTACGTTAATCATTATCGTAAGTCTCGTGTTCAAGTTTCTATGGTGTTTCTGATTGACGAGCGTTCTTTTCATGCAGCTGTTGTACCTTTACTTCTTGAGAGCGTATTCCGAAGCGAGGCATCCTTCGAGATATACCAGAGAGACGTACTACTACCCGCCATTAATGACCTCGGAGGGTGTTGTAAACTCACCTGTGTCCACTATGGACTCACCTGTATCTACTCCCGACCCGTCGCCATCAGGAACGCACTTCAACTTCAACAAGTTAATACAGACTCGAGCTGGACTAGGAAGGTCTGACTCGACAATAGCACTAACTAATTCAAGCATCACCCTCGCGCCTTCCCCCTCTTTTTCTTCCTCCCCCTCTCATTCCCACACCCAAGCCATACACACACAATCCTCCAACCCCGCACCCCCAGTTTCTAACCGGATATGGCGAAATTGGACGAATCTGCGGCTATCAATGAAAGACCGTCAAAGGCACAATAATCTTTCCGACACAGTCACACCCCGGACGCTGCGCCGGCAGAACCGTACTGGTATGCCGAGTGAACATATCTTGCTGAATACGAATACAACACCCGGTGCCTGGGAGGAGTGCACGGAAGTGTTTGCCGACGGTACTGGTCTTGGTCCGTGTGCGTCGGAATTAGATCAGTCCGTGGGCGTTGCTGAAGACGGTCAGGGTGTGCGTGCGATGGGGGACCACAGGAATAGGACTGATTCTCCATTGGCGATGGACTCGGATGCAGGCAGCCGTGACTCTGACTCTGTCTATTCTTACGGATATGGGGCCTCAGAACCGGCATACCCCTATCTGGAAATTTACAACAACCCCGCACCGCCGGCTGCTGCTAATGATAATATCATTCCTACCCAACAACCCCGATCGTCCGCGGCAGATATAGCGCGGGGAGACACCATCGAACCTAGAATGTCGCTAACGACCATAGAATCGGGTGAAGAAGAAGACGAACTGATACCCATAATGGGCGGTTTCGTACGACGGATGGCTACCATCCAGTCATTCGGGTCTCAAGAAGCTGGGTTGTCGATGGGTCGCTCGCGCTTCTCGAGGGGTTCGGTTTCCGAGATGCATGCACCCGCGTCTCCGCGTTCGTCTATTGGATGGACGCCTTCTATGGCGTCTACGTTGAGCAAGAATAACTCGCTTGGGACTGGCTCTGCTTATTTTTCTGCGTCGAGTGAGTTGGGGATGGGGACGGGGAGTTCTGGGCGTGGTGTGGGAGTCAATGAGCGGGGCGAGTTGGAAGCGAAGATGACGACGAGTCCGCCTTCATACGGTCGATATCACTATAGCCGAGAAGCTAACCGGACTACATTATCAGTGCCAACCTAGCGTACATGAGGCATCATACCATTACAGGATTATCACTATCTCAATCTGTCACATCTGCATCTCATTTCCATAAGTACGAAAGGAGGTGTTGATATTAATGCTGTTTGCCTATTTTTGAAAGCAGTCCTTGATGGATGATGTGGAATGGACGCTGGCCAGAGTTTTATGTAGGCAAGAGCGAAAAAGCATATATAACGAGAGCATGAGGCCAGATAGGCTATACCGCATCCAGATATGAAACGGGACGTAGGCTCAAGATAGTAGATTGTGACAAGGTTCCGGTTCCGGGAATGCCATAAGGTGGATCATCGATGATGTCCCGGCACCGACGTCGGCGGAAGGAATAGAAGCTGTATATCAAGCGGTGTTACATCTCTTCAACCATCGTGCCATACGACCGTTTACACGTAGGAAATCTGTTCCACTTGCCTTTTGGGAGCGGCCGCCGCTTGAGTCTATAATACCCCCAAAGGTATTGAATACTTTATGATAATCGTAATGGTAATATTATTACGCGCGCCTGTTTCCTGGTACCACCCTGCTCGTTGCAAACGTACTTGCTGCATCGTGCATGCGGCGACCCAACGGAAGCAACTAGACTGACACTTTCTGCCATACAGTTCCGCCGCGGAGTGTGCCACCACCTATTAAAATCCAAAAATGAAACACCAGCAACGGAACTCATGAGTGAAACAGTTCACCGCTCCTGGAAAGCCCGCAGGGAAGCTAAGCGCAGCCCAGTGCTTCTCACGTCTTACCTTTCTCAGGAATCGAGCGAGGGATTTGAACCGTATTTCTCAAACACATTGCAAGGCACTGCTCCATGTGATTCCGCAACATGTAGCACATCGTATCTCGTCAGATAGCCCATCTCACATATGAAAATTTCCTCTCCTGAGTTGGCCGTGTCAACATCGTCCAGTAGGGCATCACTCCAGCAATGCAATTCGCATGCGATAAGATTTTTTTTTATAAGTAGGCATGACAATATGACCAGATTCCGAATTCTAGTATTGAAAGCGTGGAACATCGAGCAAATATGGTGCTGATGGATATCGATATTCCGAGCAAACATATGATAATGATCACCTATGCGTGTGCGTGTAGATAGCCACATAGACTGGGAGTTCATGCGGAGTAATTGCGTCCAGGAGTGACAGCAATAGAAAGCATGCGCGAGTGCCAAGGGGTCGATCATGACATACACGTGCTTCCAACGGTCCGATCACTCGACAAATGATAATGTTTTCTTCTTCAATCCTGCAGTTTCGACTTCTGCGTTATCCTGTTCCCGTCTTCTCTTCCCCTTTCGTGCGAAAGAGGCAGAAGCTGAAGCTGAGGGTGCATCCTTACTCGCAGGGGTGATAGAAGGATCATCTACGCCAGCGGGCTTCATGAACGCTTTACTGTCACTGCTAACAGTAGACTTCGCTACTGATGTGCGGTTTGAAGATAAGGAGGACCGAAGGTCGACGCCAACACTGCTGTTGTCGTATATCACCCGACTCGCCGGTTCCTTCAGCTTCTTTAATGGCTTGGCGGAAGTGTTACTGTGAGTTGAGCTGGATATCGATTTGATCTTGGTTTTCCGCTTTTCGTCAGGTTGGACGTCTGCTACTGTTGTAGCTGCGGGCCGCACTTCTGGAGGTTTGAATGACTAATGATAAGGGACAATTGAATGAACATTGCTTAAGGGGATATGACCCTGGGGTACCGCGGATATGTGCTCACCTCTTCTCCATGTTTATTGAATTTACGACGGCCTTGCGGTTTCATACCGCCAAAAGACGTCGATGACGATGAAGTGCCGTTGTCTTCCCCAGGACCAGGCGCAGAAGGAAAGAGGAAAGGCATATAAGACCTCTCATATAGATCGTCATTTCTATACATTGCAAAGAAGTTCGCTGAAGCCATAAGGACACAAAATTCCAACTACGCGCAACTCACGAATCTGAGTTGGACCCATCCACCAATCCCCAAGCTTTACGAATATCAGGCGCTACTTCCCATTCGGCCTCATCTTTAACGTGCGCTTTCTCGAGCTCGACATCGACACCGGATAATTGTTGTGCTCTCCGAGCATTTTGCATGAAACGTAGATTCAAAGTCCCTGTGCTAAGCGTTTTCTGAGTCTCGACCATGGTGGTTGGTTTTGGCCTTTGGTTTTGGCAAACTTTGGTTCCTTGAGAAAATCTTACGTAAGGGCCTGAGGATCGGACCAACTCAATGCTGCCTCCCTCAAACTTAGAACTTAGAAGCGTGCCAGCGAACTAGAGAAGCTAGCTCTTAGTGGAACTGAGAATGACCTCGGCACATCGGCACCCTGGACCCTGGAGTCGATCTTGAACCTTCCTTAGGAGGTGACTCCATGAACCCGCTATTGAGAAGGCGACGGCCTGACGATAAGTGACGCATGATGGAGGAATAAAAGAAGTTAGAACTAGCCCGCAATGACCCTTGGGAGGTTTTCAATTTCATGGTATACTTTAACTCAGAGCCGCTCATTAAGGGAAGCCCTTAATAAAGACGCTGGCTCTTCATGAGGATGTAGACTCTCGCGTTCATCTGGATGAAACGCCCTGCTATTGAGTGTCATAGACCTATATCTGACGGTATGGCTCCACAGATAACGACTTATTCCCCCCATGCGCAGGCATTAGGAAAAGGCAACATGCGAAGAAGCTCAATCTTCCCAACTCAGTGCTCGCTGAGGTTTGGCGCTCGTGAAGGGGTAATTATCACCATCCTGACTACATTACAACTGCGCTCGCGCCTCAGTCCGCATGCATTTCGGATACGGTTCCCAGCGCCACCTGTTCCCATCTGGTATGTATCTGTCTAATAGCCATAAACCCTGCTTATGACGCCGAGACCGCATCAAAGCCCCATCGTCATGGTTGTAAGCCCGGTGATCGTGACTTTTGATCCAGCTACTAGTGGTAGTAGCCCGGTTGGACAGGGTGCCTGCAGGAGCTGTGACGATGGGCACCCGAGGGCTTGCGAACACAGCGTTGAGGAAGACAATCCTGGGAGCTGATTGGAAAGCAATCTGCCTGCGGACGTAAATGATAGCAGGGCTTCGGTATCTACGGTGAGATTATTTTCTCTCAAAGTTCATTTTTGGACGGTGCGGTTATCAGACTCGACCGACCACATTGAGTTCTCATAGGTCCGGATATCCAATAAGACGTGAAGACTTGAGGCACGCAATGAACCGCCGATCAATAACCCAGGGATGTGGTTGTAACATTGGTATCGAAGAGGGGCCCAGGCACTTGTATACATATGGTGGACCCTCGTGGACACCATTTTTTTTTTTCGAAGATGCGGGAGATATGCGATACGAGCATGAGAAGGATCGGGATGTTCTGCCTTTTGTGTCATTCGGAGAGAGGAAATCGACATGTCGGGTTGAAACGAGTTGTTTTCAATAATAAATAGCTGCGAAAAGTGATTCCCAGCATCATAGAAGATTCCTAGTTTCGCACGATCATTAGTGTTCTAGGGGGGTAATTCATTGTAATTTTTGGCCATGGGGTGAAAGAAAAAAAGGAATAAATTAAATGTAGAGGGACAGGATACCAGCTAGTGATACCGTACTTGCCAGATAAAGTCTACGTAGGGCGCTACCATTTCAGGTATAAAAAACGAGGTAAAACTTCGACGTTGTATGGTCCGGAATTACATACATCAAGATATCATCAATCTAAGATTACTTTTAAAAGAGAAAATTTTAATGAAATATCGTGCTAGTGACGTTTTTGTACCCGTTTAGAATTTATATTACATCGTACCCGGAATCAAATATTGAAAGTTTCGCTGGGGATGGACTCGATTCTTCCAATTAAGTTCCTCCGCGTTCCTTCTTCCTTCAAGTTGGAGAGGACGATCAATTACGGCCACTATTATCTCTTCGGTTCGTCAACCTATATAAGATCCTTCTTCTTCCATTTTCCCTTCATCTCACCTGTCCACACAATGTCTTCTTTCCATCTTCGTCCCGTCGCAGAGCACTCCCCCTCCCCACCATCAAGCGCCTCCACAACAACAGCAGGAGATCATAGTCCTCTCCACAAATCATCAATAATTCATCATACTTCACCACAATCAGGCGCACCAAGGCGTCCTCTCTCTCCAAGCTCACTTCGTGGTAAGTTCAACTTGAACATCCGACACTTTGACTTCTGATATGCATCCAGATGTCAACCTAACTCAGGATGGTAGTTCTACACCCAGAAAGTACCCTGCACCACCTACAGGTCATGAACTTATGGCGCTTTTCCCTCCTGCACCACCAGCAAACTTTGCAGAAATGAGACCTGGGCCTACCAGTGGATTCTTTCAAAGACAGGAACGCGCGTTCTTTGCACAAGCTGGAAGGGAGATCGTTCGTGTTCGGGTAGAAATCGATGTACCACAACAAGAGGATAGCAGCAAAACTAGGGAAGCAGCACAAAGTGGTGTACCGCGCTCTTGGCCACAGCTTCCACCACACCCTCAGCATCACTCTCCGATTGATTCGCCGATGGGACCGTATCCCCATCATGCAAAGCAACCCCGGTCTTCCCGTTCAATGCCGACACCCACGCAGCCACCATCCATGTTTCCCGTGGCAGCTCACAGCCAACCAACTCAGCCACCTCTCAATCTCCACTCGCAATCGCATCATGGTGGCGTCGGTTTACGTAGTCCACCTCATGACGTACATGCCATTCCTGGTGCAAAAGTAGAAATTCCTCCTACAGAGGATTACCGAGAAGACTCTGATGATGCGTGGCGGAGGCCAACACCATATGCAGATCGCCGGCGAGCAGGAAAGCATACTAAGCGAATCGTTGTTCGAAATTGACGGGTGAGATGACCATACCAAGTAAAGTTGTGTGAAGCTAACGAATGAGTTTAGATCGTGACATGGGTTCTTCGGTTGATCCGATGAATGACCTATTATGAGACTGGACTCTTGACAATCTTGCGCGCCGAATGAACGTCGTCCCACCATACCATAGTCACCAACCACATACCAAGAGGTTATACGAAGTATAACGGTTCTATTATCGGCGAGGTTTTTTCGCAAACCCACGGTCTATCTGTCCTGTAATTATTTACGAGCTCAATCCGGCGCTTCCCGATGTCAAGTAGGCTTCTTAGACTGGGTATATACGCAGGTATACGTCTCGGATTGCGATGATTGCCGGAAAGTATACACATACGTACAGATATACATAATGCAAGCAGGCACCGGACGATGGAAAGAGATCCGGAGAACGCCCTGAACCGAGTTTCACACTTGTGGCAAATATCCGATCCTTCCCTCGGGGATCCGTTAGGAACAAAGCCAAGGGCATGCGCATGACTTGTATTAATCTCGTCCGTTTAGATCTCGGTTCTGGATCTGGGACTTGACTGGAATGAGATCATGGCATACTTTATTTGGATATTCACGTTCCCCGCTGTCGGACCGATTCCCGATCGTGCAAGATGCCCAGGCCTCGCCACTAGGGTGCACGTGCCTGTGTTATTCTCACGATTCAGGATGTTTCTTGAGAATATTCCGTGCCCGTTCGAAACGGGATTGTGGGGTTGACCGAAATAAAAGAGGCGAGGAGATGAGATGCACCCCAACACATGTCCGTCGATCGATAAAGAAGACGACGGCTCGTGGGGGAATGGAAGGAATGATGACATAGCCCCAATGATTCATTTAATACATGATCCGCCAAGCAGTACAATGAGATAAGCGCTGGGAATCAGCCACGAGGCACCTAGAAAGGGGAGATAAGTGTCATTTCACAAAAGTCACATACTAATGGAGGTGAAGTTAGTGAATCCGGGAGATAAAATGGCTGTCATGAGGCTGCCTTGGTACTTACTCTTACTTGCCAGCTGGCCAATGCTGTGCAATGCGGGGAGGGTACTTCTACAGTTAGGAGGTACTACATCACATCCGATCAAATGGAAGTTGTAAACTAATCCCTGATTGAATATAACCAAAAAATTACATCGGGGCCAGTCAAAAACTCAGCGGCCCGGAAATACCCGCTTATCTCCAACCGCGAACCAACACCACAAGTTGGCACGATCGATAGCACCGCGACGCACACTTTACGATGGTCAGTGTTCGACCATCCTGGATCAATTCATATTACCATGATATACCAGTCATTCTGATCATATCCCTTGGCTAGTCTAAAACTTCCAAGGATGCTCTTCTATCAGACTTTTGCTCCATCACAGGCGCATCGTGAGTTTCCGATCGATCGAGCTGTGGGTCCCCGAGTTATTGATCTTCTTCGATTGCGCAGTCCGAAAGATGCAAAGCGGTATCTTGACAAGCACCAGAGACGGCTTGACGCGGCGATTGACGCTTATTATCAAGAGGGCGGAGGTAGGACAACCGTGGCTTCCACTAGCAAATTGAATGCCCTCTTCGAGAAATACAAAGGCGAGTATTGCCTACACCAGACCACCGCTGAATACCCACGTCTGTACAGATCCCAATGGAGATGAAATTTCAATAGACGGGACTATTCAGTTGTGTCAGGATCTCAAAGTAGATCCAGAGAATGTCGTTCTACTCGCAGTAGCTTACGAATTAAAATCTCCGAGAGTTGGAGAGTGGAACAAGAAAGGTTGGGTAGAAGGATGGTCACGACTTGGGTCAGCATGCGAACGTTCAGTCGACAGCCGAACTAATTTTGCTGCGCAGGTGTGATACAATTGACGGCATGAAAGATACTCTGACGCGGCTGCGTGCAAAGTTGGGATCTGACTCAAACTATTTCCACAAGGTATACGATCACACGTTCAGTTTTGCTCGGACGGAAGGGCAGCGGAGTCTCGGTACGCACGGATCACACCGCTAAACAGCAGAGAAAATTATTGTTATTTTAGCGATCGACACGGCACTGGCTTTCTGGAATCTATTACTTCCAACAGGTCTGACAGGCGGTGCGCTAAAACACGAATTGACAGGTGAAGATATAGATATGGACGGCGAGGGAAGTTTTGGATGGACAGATGAGCACACGCAATGGTGGTTCCAGTTTTTGACGGAGAAAGGGGGTAAGGGTGTGAGCAAAGACACGTGGATGATGGTGAGAGCTCAAATGAGACAATCTTGGCGTCGACTGATCAATAACAGCTGTTTGATTTCATCCGCGCCATTGATTCCCAATTTTTGACACATGATGCCGAGGGTGGGAATGGTCATTCGGTCCTTGAATGTTAATGCTGACATACATATTTCGCAGCTGCATGGCCGTCAGCGATAGACGATTTTGTGGCTTGGGCAAGGGCAACGGAGAAAGTCCCGCCCCCAGAAGCGACATGACTATTAACGAGCGAGATGACTTCGTGAATTGTAGAATATCATTCCCCGTGCAAAGTACGTCGTATATACCGATGGGAAAGAAAGGGGTGTACCGTTGCATCGGTCCAATGACGCGCTTTGCAACGAACAGGGAAAACCCGGTTCATTGTGAGCAACAGCCGCAGGACTTGAGCTTGAGAATTTGATCGCAATCATGTAAGCCTCTTTTTTGATGGTGTTAAGGATGGGAGGAAATTTGTTTGTTTGATTGTCGAAAATATTGGAGAGACAGGTGTTATAACCACGGCCGCCATCAGTTTCGGGGCATCCCTGATGTCAAATTTTGTCACCGAGAGAAATGAATGTTATGCGCGAGACTGACTCTTCCGAGAGGCGTATGACGATCTCTGAGCCACTTTCAGCGATCCAGAGGATGTCAAGATAGGTGCCAGAGGCTGTGATGCCAAAAGTCTCTGCTAGACCATCCTGAATCACTTTCCTGAGTTTTAGAGCATCTGTGCATGGTGGATTGATGGAAAAATGAATATACGAATGGCTGTTCGAAGATAGATGGCGCGTCATGATGGTGGCGTGACGTGGTGCGTGTATGCAGCGTGTACGCTCCAACTTGGACCTGAGCGTTCCAGATGAAACAATGAGCTCATGCAAGTAAGTAAAACTAATAAAATTGGAGCCACGCTAAAGCAACGTTAAAGATTACGTCATCCAATATTCCTTGTTCGAACGTTCAACAACTGCGCAAGGGCCAGCCAGTGCACCCAGATTCTGCTCCACCGGTTTGATCACATCCTTTCATGTCAAGCTCGGACCGAACATGTTGCGGTGTCGTAGAAGAGGCACGCACACGAGCACGCAACCGACGAGGAAACAAACCCCAGCCCTGGATTGTTCTCAAGTTCGCCGTTATATTGACATTAGCTCTGATTGCATATACAAGCTATGTGTACGTCGGTATATTCTGTAAGGATATGATTGTAAAGAATGAGAATGCATTGGGAAGTCTGACTACCGGCAGTATGTACATCCTTGCATCCCATCCGAGTCAGCGCTGAGTGTATGTTCTAGTCGTGTTTCTGGTAATATTCAGCTTCCTTCTCTTGGTGACTTTATGGTCGTATTTCGCGGTTGGTCGGCAGATCTCAATGGTACTGGCTTCGTTAAACCTTTTTGCGTTTCCTCAGGTCGTGACCACATCACCAGGGTATCCAGCAGACGTATGCAGTATTCAGTCTTTCGTTATACATCTTCACCAATTGCTTTTTCTCAAGTTTATAGAAAAAGTAGAGCTTGAGCGGCCTGGGCAGCCACCAACACATGCGCAGCAGCCTGCTACTTTCAATGACACTCGTGGAATGTCTTTCGAGCTTATGTCCCCTGCAGTCGACGTATCTAATCATGGCTCGGCCTTATCAAATTCAGGGAATAATGTACCTGTGACACACCCCGCTGTTCCAGCAGCAACGAAGCAAGACAGGGTTTATCATCCGACTCTTCATTATCAAGGCACGGCTACCCCTGGCGAAGCACACATCGTGGACGTACCCGCCAATCATGAATCTGTGCACGTCCCGGGTCCTGCACTACACCCACCCCACGAGAACCTCGGCAACCCCAACTTGGATGCGTCTTCAGCCATGTTTGCGCGACGGCCGTCGACGACACCTGTCCTTACCCCTGAGTATCGTTTCTGCAATAGAGACAGAATCATCAAGCCTCCTCGTACACATCATTGCCGAGCTTGTGGCACTGTAAGTGGAACGATTTGTTGATGACGACGTATTCTCACGTTTTGCGGCACTAGTGCGTTCTAAAGTATGACCATCACTGTCCATGTCAGTAGGAATCATTTTTTTTATATTCGACAGTTAATTACATCGGAAATAGGGGTCGGGCATTGCGTCGGTGCTTACAATCATAAGGTATTACTTGATAGGACTGTCAACTCCCAGTCATTCACTGATATATTCCATCGGAGTTTTTTGTTAATTTCGTGCAGTGGGCGTGGATACTTTCCTTTTGGATGTTCGCAACAGTCTTGGGTCTGAACATCAAGTCGTGGATGAGACCCTCGGCTCCCGCACTCAACCCACAATATATTGTTTTACTGGCTCAGTCTGTCATTGTCGCATAGTCTCGGCATAGTCGCTGACATGTTTTCACAGAACAGCTCTCTTCGGCCTTTTCTGTCTCCTCATGTTCCTGACGCAAGTGCAATTGATTATGTTGAACCAAACGACTGTGGAATCCCTTGGATTCAGGTCGATGCAGGAGCGCGAACAGGATAATCTGGCGCATATGCATCGTTGGTATGAATGTAGGTGCGTAATTGATCTGTATTTATTTACCGTTTTACATGCTTATGATTTTTTGGTCATTCATTGCGCGCTCTGGACTGAATACTCAGAGCTAAGAAACGAACGCGGCTACGTTGGGATAAGGAATGGGGCAGGATCGGCAAGGAGGGTAACCTCTGGTGGCTAGGAAGCCGTCGAGAAAACTGGGAAAGCGTCATGGGCAAGAACGTGTGGTGGTGGTTCCGTGAGTTTTCATCATGATGTAACCCCGGATTTTTCTATTTCTGACAAGCGGTACGGTTCTCCAGTACCAGTCGGTCATGGACTCGATGGAATGAACTTTCCCACAAACCCACGATTTGACAAGGAAGGGAGATGGAGGAGAAGGAGAGAGTGGCCTTCTGACTTGCGATGATATACGCCCATTTTTTTCTGCAGATTTTACGCACGCACTACATGCTATGATACCACATTTACAAAACTAGGCTTTGGCCAGGACGGACGTCGGTTTCTCGATTGGATATGCGGATTTTTGGACATCCTCTATGCAGAAACATCTTTTTGTTGTACATTACATATCAATGCTCACTGGTTCCTGTTCTCTTTGTTGCTGGTGGTTCGAATTTTGCACACGGCATCACGACGAATGAGAGCAGGAGACCATTGGCCAATTCGTCGTTGCCAGCGATAGTTAGAGCACGATAGGCTCCGAGTCCTCTAGTCTGAAAGTGGATTAGCCCTTCTTCCGATGGTCTATCTAGCCGGTACACGCATGACTATTCCCGTCACCGTCGACGTTAGGTAGTCTTATAGCCAGCTATTTTCTCGCTGTTGCGGAATAAGTTGTGCCGATTACGCTTGGGCAAAACGGGCAACTATGTTATCGAGGTACGATCGTGCGAGGTCTGGCACCCCTATCTCTCACTGTCGACTTGGCAGGGACGCATAGGGAGTATGTCAATTGGCCGAGGAATGAAGCCGAGCCGAAATGGTTCGCAGTGCTCCGAGATTTGATGAGATATGAATGGAAAGTGATTGGTAGAGGATAAGAGTGTTGGAGGTAGCTGGCTCTGCCACGTCGACTGGCTCTATTGCTTATCATTTGATTCAAAGCGATTCGGACGTATTAGATACCTTGAAATTTGAATGGTTACAAAAACGGGGGTCAAAACACCAAGGTACTAGCGCACCTGAGTGTCCCCGATTAGCCCGACGAGTCTATGACTTTATGTAAGTCATGTAATATTTCGGGGAGATACGGGAGGGGTGGATGTCAGTCTAATGAGTGTAGTCAGGGGTTGTCGACGTGAGTGGGAACCAATAAGTCAAAAGTTTATTGAATGTCATGATGCGACTCGCCACCCTAACAACCAATTCGGACACGCTAATTTCAGTGCCCGAGCTGATGGCTTCAACTTGATGTTTGGAATTGTGGCACTCATCCTCGCATGGAGTACACGTACCTGTAGAATACCATTAGACCAACAACAAAGTCTGTTCGGAGCATCACCAAGTGGCTCCACGTGAAGGTTTCTCTAATGAAGCGCCACCGACGGGGATGGACTCCGAGTATATAGCCCATCACGGAATAGGCGCAACCTTCAAGGGCGGAGTGTCAGGCTACTTGATCATAGGGACCGACCGGGGTCCTGTCTCGGGCGGACCAAAATGAGACAACTCAAGTACTCACACGTCGTCGGGCTCCTTCTTCCTACTCTCCCGCTATCTCAAGCACTCTTGTTGCTCAGTTTTTGTTCCCACAAACACGTACTTGCATCTCAAAAATGTCTCCAACTGTCGATAACGGGCACTTCAATCAAACGACGACCCACAAGGTCTTGAAGCAGCACAATGGGAATGGTGTTCACACATCCAGCACTGCCAATGGCCAACTGACTTCAGCATCGCTTATCAGTATGGAGCATGAATACGGCGCTCACAAGTAAGTTTTCCGTGTTTCCCAAGCCAATAAGCGCTTTTTTCGAAAGACCTGTGGTCAAAATCGCATTTAGTCGCTCAGCGCTAAAATCGTCGATGACTTCATTCATTCGAGCGTTACGAATGCATACTGATGCCAACGCTTAATTCTTATAGTTATCATCCGTTACCGGTAGTATTCGACTCCGCGCGAGGGGCAAAGTGAGGGACTTGTGCCATTCGGATGGTTCCTTTTAGCTCATTGCTGACTACAGGGTATGGGACCCGGAAGGCAAAGAATACATCGACATGTTGTCCGCATACTCGTAGGCGCTCCGTTGTATTCCATAGGCATTCTCATTAACACATCTTTATTAGGGCCGTCAATCAGGTTTGTCACCCGCAAAAAGACGATGCATTGGGGGGATGGGCTGACTGGAACATGGTCAAATTTTTAGGGTCATTGTCACCCAAAGATAGTTGCTACGCTAGTAGAGCAGGCACAGAAACTCACTCTGTCATCTCGTGCCTTCTACAATTCTGTCTTTGGGAGGTTCGCGCAGCAGATTACACAAATGTTCTCATACGAAAGTGTTCTCCCGATGAATACCGGTGCCGAGGCCGTCGAGACTGCTGTCAAGCTTGCTAGGAAATGGGCTTACCTTAAGAAGGGTGTGCCGGACGGGAAAGCTATTGTGCTCAGTGTTGCTGGAAATTTCCACGGAAGAACCCTGGGGGTTATTAGGTGTGTTTGGCGCTGAGGCGTCCTTCAAGAAGTCCGCTCGGGACCTTATTTATTCATAATTTACGGCCAGTATGAGCACCGATCCGGAGAGCCGCGCCGGCTTCGGCCCCTACCTCGAGGGTGTCGGACCCACTTACAAGGATAATGACGGAATCAGTGTCATCCGCTATGGAGAGATTTCCGATCTAGAACGTGCTCTCGAACTTCATGGAAAAAACGTGGCCGCGTTCTTGATAGAGCCAATTCAAGGCGAGGCAGGGTGCGTTCTCTACGGAGTTCACTTTGAATTCGGTTCTCAATTTCTGCATTGCCATTCTAGAATCGTCGTCCCACCCAGGGGTTACTTTGCTAAAGTTCGGGAGCTCTGTACCAAACACAATGTCCTCCTTATCTGCGATGAGATCCAGACTGTTTGTTTCCTTATACAGTCCTGAGAATTATTACTCATATACTCATTAACACTTTAGGGGTTGTGCAGGACAGGCAAGATGCTGTGTTGTGAGCACGAAGGCATTCGGCCGGATATGGTCCTACTCGGCAAGGCACTGTCGGGTGGAGGTGAGTAGCCTCTAATAGTATTGTTCCTCGGGGGTTTTCACACCCAATATTTCAGTGTACCCCGTTTCGGCGGTTCTCGCGGACCGAGAGGTTATGCATTGTATCCAGCCTGGAGAACACGGCAGCACATACGGCGGGTGCGTCATCTCGATGGTCTTCTCGGATGCATATTGACATCGCCACTTAGGAACCCCCTGGGATGTGCTGTCGCTATGACATCGCTGCGTGTCCTCGTAGACGAGAAGCTCGCTGATCGTGCCCAGTATCTCGGTGAAATATTCCGCGCGGGAATCGTAGCGTTGAATTCTCCTTTGGTCAGAGAAGTCCGGGGCAGAGGACTTCTCAATGCTGTGGTTATCGACGAAGAGAAGAGCTCTAAAGGCCGCACCGCATGGCAATTCTGCTTATTACTGAAGAGCCGAGGTGTTCTCGCGAAGCCAACCCATTGCAACATGTACGTGACTTGATAATTTCTCCTTCGATTTGCTGTAACTTTGTCCGATGCAGTGTTCGTTTTGCTCCTCCGTTGGTGATACTCGAAGAGGACCTTCGAAAGGCCATCAGAATCATCGGGCAATGCCTTTCTGACCTTGACCAAGTAAGTGCCTCTAACAGGGAGTTAATAACGTCGCGATGAAACTTGCTTGATCTTTAGCTTGACGACATCCCAGGAGAAGTCGAGAGTGAGAAAGGTTTCAAAGAGATGCTTGACAACTGATCAATGGCGTTGTATGACTTTGATTTGGTAGAAGGATGAGAGCCCAGTTGATATGGTACATTGTACTTAATACATAGGTTTTCTGCGAATGCTTCCTTTATCTCTCGTTCAGTCCCTCTAAACCAGTCGCCGCGTGAACCTGTCAAATTACATAAATATAGAAGCTTCCCTTGTATTGACGCTGCGGCGTCTCAGCTGAGCGGGAATATTGCAGTGTAGTTTGAGCACATGTTCGCGTGCCATTTCGGTTGCCATTCAGGAGGAAAACGTGTAATCAGCTGAGATCCGTAATTAACAAAAGTCACGTTATACACGGTGACCTCGTCCCCGAAGAACAAATGGTCGACCGTTCAAACGTCATACATGCATCATGTGTCGGCAGCCACGGTAGCAGTACAAGTACAGTTTCATATCACGAGATACATCGGTTCTTGATAATCAAGGAAGAATATACGCGGGGTCGCGCACGCAGGGACTTTCTACATAGAAATCAATTGTGAAGGTGGTAGATAGATGATCATGTCATGGATAAAATGTGAGGCACCTCGTAGGGTCAACTTCTATCAATACAAACCCAGAAGTCAACCGAAAAAAATGCCATCGGTCCGATAGACGCTTTTATTCTTCCCTGACATTAGCAACTCGACGCACGATGGGAAAAAAGTTCGAGCATCGAGTGAATAAGAAAGGGATACTAGTGTGCGTTTTGCCAGATGACGGGCACGACCTGCAAAAAAAATCATGAAGTCATGATGTGATGCATGTAGTTCTCGGCACCTGGGGCCTGAAAGTTTATCGATTGGGCTGGAAAGGCCTATTTGCTGCAGACCGCAAGTATACTGACGCTCACGAAAGGCTCGGAGCTAAGAGTTTGCTGTAGGCATCACGAGGGGCTGCCAGTGATGCAATGGTACAACTTTGAAGCGGCGATGAAGGGAGAAAAAAAAGAGAAGGCCATTATGGGTTTTTGAAGGAGTTCGCTAAAGAAAAAATTACATAAAATTCCAAAAAAAAAGTAGTATGTAAATTGATCGTTACATGAAGCTTAAGACGAACTTCCTCCAGTTGGTCTGCGTACAGGAGACTATCTCAGCTTCATTCTAGGTTCTTGTCGTTTGGGTTGAATTCTCGAGATGGTTCTCTCGAGTCCCCAAGGACTCCGCCAACGAAAGGTTGCCGACGATGGTTCGGAAGATTCAGGAGCTCATTTTAAAGCAGAGTGTGGCCAGTCAGAGAAGACACGTCAGGCACACGAGGAAGTGGTTTGGGGGCAGACGCCAGACGGCGAAGGTGGGCGCTAGTGAAAAAAGCCTCACGAATTGGATTTTGACACAAATATGCTATCAGTCTTTAGGGTTCCAACCACGCACGATGTACTAACCGGGCTTTTCCATCCACGTTACCCAAAGAGTCATCTGGACATCCTCAATCTCTCATTGCTCGGGTTACAGCTTGTTCTGTTCTATATATTGCCACGTTCCACAGCCAAAGTTTTCTTTCTGTTCTATTTTGTGTTCTGGAGGGCAGCTTATGATGCTGGGTTGGGATGGGTCCTCACTAAACAGAGCAAGAGAAAGTGGATGGTTCGCGAAGTACAACGCCTCGGATGGCTCGATGAGAAGCGTAACCCGGCTGCTAGAAACTGGATTCGTGCTCAGTTACAGGGGAAAATGGGAAAGGACTATTCATTCGATGTGAGCAGCCTACTGATGCCAGCCAATGCATCGCTCACGAGTGTATCAGGACCTTCCATTGGAATACAACACATGGCTGTTGTTTAGGCAGCTTGTAGACGTGATTCTTCTCAAGTCAGCTCTATCAAGTGCATCAGCGTTCGATAACTAACATGATTGGCTTATCAGTGACTTCTTGGCGTACTGCATGTTTTCCTTTGCTTGTTTCAGAGTGCCCGAAGGACTTTCTTTTCCTGTCCATGCCATGAGGTAAGTACTTCTCTTCGCACCTGATATATCGCTTATCGCTGCGTAGGTGGATTGGTGGTGTTGCGTTGGTCGTATTCAACCTTTGGGTAAAAACCGAGGCACACAATGTTGTCAAGGATTACGGTTGGTATTGGGGTGATGTATTTTTCCAGCGCGGCGCGCTTGTATTTGATGGCGTTTTTGAGTTGGCCCCTCATCCAATGTACTCCGTCGGTAAGCTTTGTTGCCTGCTTTTGTTAACGATCGTAAATCAATGAGACAGGTTACGCTGGATACTACGGTCTTTCCCTGATGGCCGGAAGCTATGCTGTCCTTTATGTCAGTCTGGCAGCTCATGCAGCTCAGTTCGCATTCCTTGTCTTGTTCGAAAACCCTCGTAAGTAATCTCCGATCTATGATCTACGACTTTCTGATGTGCGGTAGATATCGAACGGATGTATGGAAAACGCAAGCCTATCGCGCTGCGTAAGCCTATATCTGCATCTGAAACCAAGAAGATCAAAAAAGTGCACAGCTCTCGCCAAATTCCATCATCTGTCGAGGACAATGCAGACCAATTGTCCACACCCGCTGCCACGGAAGGCGAGACTGCTACAGATACCGAAACTGAGACGGAATGCGAAGGCAAGGCTCCGGCCACCCTCCGTTCCTACCGCCCCAAGCAACCCATACTTTTGGAGAGTACTGTCTCTCAACATGATTTGCATCACAAGTATTTCAGACGAGACGTGGTCCTTCTTCACAACATCGATTTACTCCGGCAAGTACGCCCCTTGGTAGACGAACAGTTATCCTGACCCTCTTTCAGTTCCTCAGATGCCATGCTTGCGCTTCTATTGGTCTATGTCGTATTAGGATCATCCTTGCCTGTACTATCGTATCATGCAACACTCGCGTTACACTTCGCACACGCTTGTGCTTGGTGTATGTTCCACAGCTTTGGTCTTGGGCTTCTCCTTCGTGCCCAGAGCAAATCGAAATATCTCGTCCGGCACTTCTTAAAACATTACCATTATCCGTCTCGTGACCATGGTGATGGCGCATTACAGGAAGCATTTACCAACTGGAAGGCGTTGTACAATATTAGTTTGTGCATGACATATAGTGTGTATCCGAGCTTTATGCATGACAAACTGCTGATCGGAAAACTGCGTGCCAGCTTCGCTGACGAGTTTGGCGTGGAAATCATACACGGCGCCCGTTGCCTGGTTTGAGGGTGATGCCCTTCTCTGTCATACGCTAGGAGCAGTTCGTATTTTTGTTTATTTTCTTTCACGCGCTCAAATCCGCTTTTAGCTCTTGATCGCACTCCATGGGTGGGCAGCTATGGAGTCATTCGAAGTATTGGGTGTTTTCGGTATGTCTACCGTTACTGTTTTTGTTCATCTCATTTACTAATGATATTCTAAATACAAGGTTGGTTTTACGGCGACTTTTTCATGGAGGATTTCCCAGCGCATCTGGAGTACACCGGTATATTCAGGTATGACTGGACGAGATGCCTCCTATCCGACGTCTACTCATTGCATTCTTCCTAGGTATCTTAATAACCCCGAACTAATGAGTGGCGCCTACTTTCTGGGCCTTGCTTTGATCAGTGGCAGCAAGCTTGTTGGCATGCTTGCAGTCATCAGGTTTGTGTCCCACTGGTGGTTCCTCCAGACCGTTGAACAGTAAGCATCGACCAAAATCCTAACGCTCCACGGCAAAGCTGACTACCAGTCATATTACGACAGCCCCCACATGCAGAAATTATACGGTGACAGTCTTCGCAAGGACGCTGGCTTTGTCAAAGTTATCAAAAGCGTTGCTAGCAAGAATGCTCGCCTTTTAGAATCGCGTGCGGGGCGGCATGTACCCGAAATCAAAAGAGTTGCGAAAGAAGTCAAAGGCACTTTCGACAAGGTTTTTGAAGAAACTGCTGATGTGGTTGAGGAGTTCCTTGCGAGATGTAAGTGCGAAGTGATTAGGCGTGGTGTCACACAGCACTTATGGTTTCGTTGCAGCGAAACCCAAGATATCGGAAGTGATGCAGGAGACCAAAGTTCTTCTCCAACAATCACGGGAAAGACTGATTATCACGTCAGTATGAAGTCCTGAAAATAATGGCTGTGTTTTAACATTCTGTGGCTTCAGTCGCGTTGCCCGTGACCTATCATCGTTTGACACAACGAAATACAAGGTGTCGATTGTCCCAAGTCAATCCGGAGACAAACGCTTCCATATAGGCGAGTCTATCAAGGTCAACTGGCAAGCTCCTGCCCGGCACTCCCGTCGTGACTGGATCGGAATATACAAAGTGAGTGGCTTTTGTCTTCTATTACTAAAGATCACTCATGAAGAATTCCGGTAGGTCGGTGCCAACAAATCTACGTTGGTGACGAAGATATCATCTAGCGGGTTGTGGGTTCCCGTTCATCACGAAGAATGGGATCAAGATGCGCCTGTCGATCACACTAATCGCATTACCACTCTGGGAAAGGAGCCGGAGTTTGGTATCGTTCCATTTGAAGGTCCCACACTCCCATGGACTATTGGTCAATACGAGGTGAGTCACAGCCGTATTATTATTATGCCATATCAACTTATATTTGAACAAAGGTCCGTTACCATCACGATGGCAAGTATAATGTGTTAAGTCTTGACGGACCGTGCGAGGTGTACGGTATGTGTCCGATATTCGGTTAAACAGATCTTGCACCTGAACAAAATCGGTTTGTAGTGAGCAAACCTGTGGCGCTCGATCTCACCTCCATTCGGGAATACTTGACTTACACTGTACCTCTCTGCCTGGACTCCGATCCTGACCTGATTCCCCTATCTTGCGGAGGTATCCAAGAACCCGCCGACACAGACCCTGCCGTTGCTCGTGACGTGGACGATTTCAGCTTCTGGTCCGAACAGCAGGCCAAACGTATATGCTACGTGATTAAGCAGGCATTCGGGGTCGAATATGCGCCAGATGTGGTTGTGGCTGATGCTAATTTGACTGCGCTTGCCAATCGGATATTGGTCTCGAAGCAATTACTGGTTCTGTAGCCCTTGATTAATGATTCATTTCTTTTTTCTCTTTCTGAGTACATTTGGATTACATACCCACGCACCAGGATGTTTTTCATTCCATGACGACCGGTTTATGATCACTCGACCAATGAAAATCGTTTATCGTTTATCTGACTGTTAGCTGCCTTCACCGACATTCTGATCAGCCAGTCCACCAATACTGTCAGAAACAGCCATTATCTTTCCTCGCTTGTATTGTTATGGCAAGGAAGACGGATTATTATCTCTCCCAGTGCGCTCTTGCTGCCAGCAAGGTGAGTTCGTCAATTCCAAGTAATTCACTAGTTTTATACATTGACCAATGTTTTCCAACAGTCGTCCATGACATACCATCTTGGTGCAGTACTCGTAAAAGGAGGCAAAGTCATATCAACGGGCTATAATCATCATCGCACGCACTATGACGGAAACGACATACTGAAGCATGGTCATCGCAAACCCACTTCCATGCACGCGGAAATGCATGCCATCTTTAGCTTGACTGGCATGTCTCCTTCATTTAAGCAGCAAGTTCAACTCTCGCTGCGACGTACCGCTGCAGCCAAAAGAAGGCCGCGGTCTGAAACACGTCTCACACAAGCTGGACGTAACGCGCCCACACGGCAGCGCGTTTTATGAGACGAAAACACAGTCTTCCCTTCGGAGCCCTGACTCGTGTTGCGCGATTGATGCTGAATTGTCTCCGCCTTGCGATATGCTGTTTGTAGAGCCACCGAGAGGGCGGAATGCACGCCGCAGGGACTCAAAGGTAAACGGTGCAGATATCTATGTTGCGCGCATCATCAAAAATGGCCTGGGCGCCGCAAAGCCTTGTTGGCGATGCATACACTGGTGTTGGTGGTTCGGTGTGAAGAGGATATTTCATTGGAATCCTGTCATCGGAGATTTCGAGGTGTTAAAAGTAAACGAAGGTTATAAAGATCACTACGAGACGCAAACCGATGTACGACTTTTCGCGCGTTTAGTGAGTCCCATCTTAGTGTTTAGTCCTGACTGTTAACCTGTTTGACAGAAACTACTGAATGAATAATGGAATTATTCCCTTGCATGAGCCATGATGAGTCTTTGTCGACCAGTATACTGTAATGGGAATCTTTGACCCGTGAATCGAATGAGATGGGCAGACGCTGATCCCCAACCGGGAATATCGGTGCCACAAGTAGGTTGGAAGAAGGTTTCCACAGAAAGCTTATTGAAAAATAAATGCATACCTTTAGAAAGGCTTGCGAAAAATCGGTGCCTCATTGGAGACGGTCCGATAGTAAGTGAAGAGGTTCTGATAAGGTCTCACAGTTTTGATATCTTAATGCACTGAGCGAGTCGATACGCACATACAAAGAATTGGACAAACCTCCAAATGCACTAGCATAACATAAATAATTGATGTACTTTCGTTTCATCCTCAGGGGTGAGGGGGAAAGCCGTCGCTGCAGCGTGACACTTAGGGCGCGAGGCCGTGCACGAGTTAAATGCATTTCACGAATATGCTCTCGCAGTTTATTTACACACTATCAATGTTAATCCCTACTGGATGCCAATGAGTCCACAAATGAGGCATGCAAAAAACATGTACTCACCGAGTGGACCAATTTGCTGCGACATGTGCAGCAGAATGATCGGGCACTTTGATAATGGTTTTGGGCCAAATATCACATACAGTGCAATATTGTTCTTTCTAGGCTAAAACAACCAGAGGAGTGTATTTCCCAGAGGCTTATCAGCCTCGAGGCAGTATGAAAGAAGTCCCGACGGGGGAGGGGAATAATCTTTAGCGAAAGCGCCGACACGACTGATTTCTAGTACATTGACGGTACCGGTAAATGCTTGATGGGTTAGATCTGTCTTTCATCGTAGGAATCAAGTCGGAACCTCATTCTTCAAATAGAAGCAAGACAAACTGGTCTGTCCATCGATAAGGGCGTCACCCGTTGATCACTTGAATTTGGTTCGGACCGCGCCAAGAGCTGGGTCGTCGGCAAATGCCGATTCTGCTTGTATGAAGACCCGTCAGCATCTGAACTTCTGAAAGTTACACAACATCAACTATCAGATCGTTGGCCCAATTACGCTCTTCATGTAAATAACCCCAGACAATTATGCACCGCACTTTTTACTAAATGGTCCTCAACTTCACAGCATGGTCGCAAGCGGCAATGAGGAGACAGCGCAGGATGTCCATACTTCCTCCCTCCCGTACTTACGGTCTCCTTTGCCTTCGATGCATTCTAAGCTCCCGCCTCTATCAGCGAATGACAAACCAAGCACACAACTAAAGGAAAAACAAGCTATCAAGACACCTCTTTCGTCGGTGGCGGAGCTATGCGGGAATACGCTCCAGCTGGACGCTCACGCGCCTCCTCCATCCGTCACAGGACTGTCGCCTGCTTCGGAACCTGTCAAAACTACTACAACTGAACACTTGCCTGCTGCCGTGCCGTCTGGAGCGGACGTTACGATCCGACTCCAGACTGAGCTGCTAGCTACCGCCGACGAACTGTATCGCAAGGATATAGATGGTCACGGTGAAGGACGCGCGGGGAAGGCTCCTGAGCGGATTTCAGTAGTGCCGCTACCGCCATTTTCAAAGCGCTTCCCTAAGGCAAATACACAAGAGTTGACAGATGAGGATTATTGGTCTTCGTTTCCGCCACACATAAAAAACTTTGTACGCAGTACTACTCTTAGTCTTATGCGAGGTTTGTTGACCCGCACAAAGGCGCAAAAAATGTACAATATTGCGCAACAGATGGTACAGTCCGATGCCGTGCTGAAGACTGGATTCAGCGCGACTGAAGCTACCACGATAACCGCAAGGGCCAGCATGGACGTTCCAGGGTACCCTCCAGGAACGTATCCGTCGCTACCTTTTGACCCCTCAATTTTCTCCGATCCCGAGTTCACGTTATCGGTAGATAGAGCAACAGCTGCTCTGGGGACTGCTCTACCATCACCTGGCCAATCTCACCCTCCTGAGTTCGGCCAAGAGGAGTTTATCGAGGATGACTACAGTGAAGATGCTGATGCTGTAGACGGCGACATTGAGGATCAAGACCTTGATGAGAACGATTCTGATCTGCAGCCACAACCAACATCAGCTCCGCACGCGCCACATTTCCATGGATCGCTGCCTGCGACCTTTGCCCAGGTAGTTCTGAGCTACGAGGAGACGGTTTTGCGAAGTGGACCGCTTTCGACTGACTTCAGAACTAAGTTATCAATGCCTGCTATGCCAATGCTAGCAGCGCCTGTTGAGGAATTGGTATTTCATAAGAAAAACAAGAAAGTCTCATCTATTAAAATGCCGGCGGTTAGCGCCGAAAGTCCGGCAGTGCCGGGACAGGGAGTGGGAACGATGGGCACGGCACCGGGATCGGCGCTGGAAAAGGGTAGTGGAGGGACCGGTGGAGAATTGAGGAAGCGCTCACTGCCTCTCACCGCCAACGCCATGCCTGCAGCTCGAGCAGCAACAAAAGAAAATATATCTAATCCTCCGCCAAGCTCCCGTGCACAGGGCAAGCAGCCTATGTCGTATGCACCGCCTACAACGACATCCACAGCGACCACGACGACCACCCCAACAACGGCCACGGCCACCGTCAATGGCCAGCAACCAACAAGAACGGCTCGTGCGGCATCAAAGGCGCCGATTCCTGCTCACGCCTACCAGCATAATCATTCTCATCACCATCCATCGCCTCCATCATCCAATGCATCCGTGCCACAGAAACATCGTCCTCCGGCAGCCGCTGCTCCAGGTAAATCTTCTCAGAACAACTCCAAGATCTGGAGCACTAGCTCGACAGAGGAGCGTGAGCGTATCAAAGAATTCTGGCTTGGTCTGGGCGAGGACGAGCGCCGAAATTTGGTCAAGATCGAGAAAGATACCGTCCTCCGGAAGATGAAAGAGCAGCAGAAGCACAGTTGCAGTTGTGCAGTCTGCGGCAGGAAGCGGTCCGTACTCATTCCTTGATCACATCCACAAAAAAAATTTACTGACCTGCGCGCTTGTCTTTGTGTCTTGTTCTTTCATCGGTGTTGGATATCTGGTGTCCGCGCACATGTATCATCGATGCTTATAGACATGCGATCGAGGAAGAGCTTGAGGTACTGTACGATGCTTATTACGAGGAGCTAGAACAGTACGCGAACTACCAGCAGCGATATGTCTCCTCTGGTGGCACCATACCCCCTCCCCCTGGGCCAGGTCCGTTTCCCGGCAGCGTCGAACTCGATAAGAACGGCGCTGTCATCGATCCTCCTCAGAATAAAGTTTCCCATAACCCCCCGCCATCTAATAGAACACCAGCCCTGACGAACGGCCGAAAACCTCCGAAACATGAAAGTGAGTTTGATGATGATGATGGGGATGAGGAGGAGTATGAGGAGGAGGAAGAGGAGGAGTATGAAGAAGACGAGGAAGAGGAGGAGGAGGATGAAGATCCGGAAGAGGAGGAAGAAGAAGTGAAACCACGAGATCGACGCAATCCCGGTGTTCGCGGACGAAGGCCTGTGAATAACGCGAAGGTTAACGGTCGCGACGGTCTGTTTAACCTTGGAAGTAACTTGACTGTGACTGGTAGGTCCACTCCACCTGTGCATCGTTTCCCCTAATCTCCTGTATAGGTCCAGGTAACATTCTGACAGTTGCAGACGATCTCCTAAAGAACGATGGGCAAAAATTCTTAGAGATGATGGAGCAGCTGGCCGAGCGTCGAATGCAGCGAGAAGAGGAAGCGGCTGCTGATGTTGAAGATGAAAGTGAAGAAGAGGACGACGAGGAAGGTGATGAGGACGATGATGACGATGATGAAGAGGAAGAGGACGATGATGACGACGATGAGGAGGTGAGCATTCTTTGCATTGAACCTTTATTATCTCAACATTATTTAGGTGATGACCGAGGAGCAAAAGATGGAGGAGGGCAAGCGGATGTTCTCCATTTTCGCTGCTCGGATGTTTGAACAGCGCGTCCTCCAAGCGTTTCGAGAAAAAGTTGCACAGGAACGTCAAATGCAGCTTCTGCGCGAACTTGAGGACGAGGACAAGCTCACAAAGGAGCGAGAGGCAAAGAAGCAAACTCAGAACCAGAAGAAGAAAGCTAAGAAAATGTGTGTTTCAGCATCGATTTACTGCTTCGTACTCAAAACGATTATTCACAGACTTCAAAAACAAGCCCGCGACGAAGAGCGAGCTGCCAAAGCGGCAGAGAAGGCTGCAGAGGAGGCCGCTTCAAAGGCCAAGCAAGTAGCTCAAGAGGATGCACAGCGGAAGAAACGCGAAGAAGAACGTGCTCGTCGTGAAGCTGCCCGAAAAGCTGCAGATGACGAGAAACAACGTAAAGAGGAGGAGCGTCGTAAACGCGTTGCAGAGGAAAAGGAGCGGGAGGCCGAGCGAGAACGTAAACGCAAGGAAAAAGAAGAGAGGGTCAAGCAGGAGCGCCGTGAGCGGGAAGAAAAGGAGCGCAAGGCCAAAGAGGAGAGGGATGCCAAGGCTGCTGCTGAAAAGGCTGCCCGAGACGTCGCCCGAAAGGAGCAACAAGAGAAGGAAGAACGCGAGAGAAAGCTTGCCAAAGAACGGGAGGAGAAGGAGAAAGCGGAAAAGGAACGGGCTATTCAACAGCAACGAGCTGGCAAGCACACCCGTCCACCAACTTCTCCCCGTCCGCCAAGCTCTACGCAACGCACTCAGAGTAACAACGGTCCATCTAAGAAAATCCTTAGCAAGCCCATCCCTGTCACTCCTACTCCGTCCGGAAGTACACCACGACCGTCACTGCAGCAGACACCACAGCAACCGCAGCGTCCCATGCTGTCTAATTCTCAGCCTGCAACTCCTGTGGCACCCTCCGTGCAAAATCATTTTCCGCCGTCCACCGCTCCTCATTATCCTATCGCTCCTAGCATGATACCTCCACTTTCCGGCCCGTTGTCCCCTCGTCTACCCTTTGCACAACCCCCACCTCCATTCGGACTGTTCGGTCCAGGTCCATCAATGCCACCACCAGGACCTCCTCCGAACCTCGGTCCATCC